AATGAAATTTATTGCTTACAGTTTCTGAGGCCGAGAAGTCCAAAGTCCATCTGGTGGTGGCATTGGTGACCCAGGGGTCTCACATTGCAAGATGGTGGAAGCAGAGAGAGCAGAGAGAGAGCAAAAGGCAGACTCTCCTCTTCTTTTAAAGCCCTTGGAACCATGCCCCTGACCTTGAACACCATTTTATTTTAATTTTTTTATTTTTATTGAATCAAAATTGATTATACATATTTTTGGGGTTCAACATTGAGATATGTTGATCAAATCAATATTACTAGCATATATATTGTTACAAATCATAATTATTGTTTATGCCCCTTGTCCAATCTCTCCCCATCCTGAACACCATTTTTAATCCATTCACTACTGCATGGTCCTACAATCCAATCACCTCTTCAAGGCTCCACCTTCCAGTTACCATAATAGGATTTCCCACCCTCTTAACGGTCACAGTGGGTGCTAAGTTTCTAATACATAAAACTTGGGGGACACAATTCAAGCTTCAGAGAGTTTTGGGGGGATACAATTTAATCCACTACAGCGAGTATAGCTCTCATTTATCTGAGGGTTTCTCCAGTTTGTGAGATCAGCACTGAGGTCCTGTTCCACAGAGCTCATGGAAGCACACACTACAGTAACTCACTTTCCATATTTATTATGACAAAATGGAGGCTCTGCGTAAGTAACCCAACTCCTCCTTCCTGCCTCCACTGTTTGGAAATTTTAAATCAGGGAAATAACTCTCAGGTAAGTGTGATATTCTTACCTGAATAAGGACTTACTCAACTAAAATAAATTCTTGAGACTTTACTGTTGTATTCCTTTATCCAGAAAGTAATAATTTATATGAATCAGCTGTATCATATAATTAAGACTACATGATTGAAATTAAATATTTTTTATCTAAATTTTCAATTATTGCCTTTTTCCTTTTCTACTTTGTTTTGCAGTTCTTCGTGCCATGAAGGAGGACAGTGAAAAAGTTCCGAGCTTGTTAACTGATTATATACTTAAAGGTGAGTTTTATAATGGTATACGTGCAATGGTTGGGAGGTTTTGATTAGTCAGTTAATGCACTGTCTTGCTAATAGATTAAAAAGTAACTTCCCAGTGTGCAGCTTTTATTAATCTTACATGCAGGGTTAGGATAAATACATGATTGACTCATGCTACCAACATTATAAATTATGGTTATATAAAATTTAGCTTTTATTTCAGGTCCTGGGCTGGAAATAATTTCCACAGCTAAATTATAAACATTGAAGAAGGCAGTAGAGGACAATTAATAAGATATTGCCATAATTATGTGGGTATCAGATGTCGACATGTTGACACTGGGAGGTTTGAGAAGGGTGGTCTCTGTCATCTTGGGGACGGTAGAAAAGGCAGAAGGACAGATCATTCATTAGTGAGGACGGATGAAGCGGGAACAGTCAAATCAGTCAACAGTGCCAAAGGGAATAATACAAACGGGATTGGTGTGTGTGTGGGGTGGGGGTGAGGGATAAAAAGAATGGACTTTCATAAACCCAGGACAGTGAAAAACAAGGCATAAATCTTAGGAGCAAGGTCAAGATCACACAGGATAGGAATACTGACGAGGCAAAAGGAGTTTGAGAAGTTAAGATCACTTACTTTACTGAGGAAAAAGCAAAATTTGGATGATAAAGAGGAGATTAAAGAACTTATTTAGTTATAAGCAAAAGTAATACTTTTCAATGAAATTATTTTTTTAAAAGTAGCAGTTATTTCGGTGATAAATTTTCAGTGTCATAAAATGCATCTTGTAGTGTTTGATGGAATTTTGAGAGCAGTCCTCTTTCAGGAACATTTTTCTTCTTTGGGCTCTCTCTCTTATTCAGTTAGCTTTTTTTTTTTTTTTTCCTTTTTGTCTTTTTTTTTTTTACTGACCTGTAACGGGATCGCAACCTTCTGTGTCGCGCCCGTACCAGGGACCGGCAACGGGATCGCAACCCTCGGTGTCGCGCCCGCACCGCGCTTAGCCAGTGAGCGGGAACCAGTCTCCACATGGGATCCGAACCCTTGGTGGGAGCGCCGCCGCGCTCCCAAGCGGCGCACTCTCCAGTGCGCCACCGGGCCGGCCCGGAAGGTTAGGATTTCTGAGATGTCAGATATCTCAGAGGGAGGGAACCTCAGTGCTATATATACAGGGAGCTCAAAGTGAATGATATGTTAAGTACTATGTATAAGAGACTTATTGTGGATGTAAAAAGAAGCCAGCCAACAGTGGAAAGACTGAATTGACATTGTTTTTTAATAAGCCGTATTTTTCTGATGAAGGGCTTTTTATCCCTATTAAATTCTGATTTTTTAAATATACCTGACATCTTTGTTTGCTTTTGTGTTGTGCTAGCATTGATATGAACGCTGGATTGTTCTGAGGTTTGTTCTTCTAGATGTGAAACAGGAATGAGACGGACATAAAGAACATGTCTTAATTTTTAGTTATATTGGGTCCCTAGGGCACTGCCATGAGGGCCAGAGAGAGAATGAGCTTCTGAAGCATTCTCTAGCTATTTTAGCATTTGGCTGCATGGAAAGATGGTATAACCTGAGAACAGAGTGCTCCGGGGGAAAATGATTTTTAATTCTTTACTCTGAAAACCTAGGACTGTAATTGGGAGCCCCCCTATTTCGCATGCCTTAGGGAAGTGGCTCTGCCTAACCCTGCTCCTCCTGCTCAGGCCACTGGCTCCCATCTGTAAGCCCAGTTCCGGTTCCATCTATCCTGTAGCTGCTTCTGATGAGCGGTGTGTGTGCACGTGATGTGGGTTTGTCCTGGCTTTGTGTTGTGGGGACTGGGTGGAAAAGAAGCTAGGATTCAGACTCCAGCGGTGACGCTGTAGTCTGAGAAAAGGAAGAGGGGAGCATCATGCAGAGAGGTATTGGAGTGTGCGGGAAGTTGCTGCCGTGGGTCATTTAAAGTGCTCTTTTCCACCCATCCTGGAAACTCACAGCTGGCGAACTGTTCCTCTTCCTCAGGGACCAGTATTAAGAGCACTGCCTGGGAGGAGGCTATTGCTCACGGGAAGAGTTCTCCTCCCTCTTTTCTGGCTTTGTCATTGTTGTTTTAACACAGATGAGTGTGGCTTGGCTGCCTAAATTAAATATGCTATCTTAGTTTTAATGCAAAGGTCAGAAGTGAAAGAAGGTAGAAAAGTGGCCTCATTTGGCCCAACAAAGATAGGATGGGCGCTGTGTGGGCTAACTGAGCTTCTCTTTCACACCTGCTTGATTACCCAGGGCAGCCCGCTGCCACCCCTGCCTTCAGCAATAGTACCAAAGGCTAGAGATGTACACATGGCCGCTGCTGTGCTGATCCTACGTAGGAATAAGGATGTGTGTAGAAACTTGCACCCTTCTTTGACCTCACTAGGGAGCCTGTTTGCTGTGTTGAGCTTCTCTTTCACACCTGCTTGATTACCCACGGCAGCCCGCTGCCACCCCTGCCTTCAGCAGTAGTACCAAAGGCTAGAGATGTACACATGGCCGCTGCTGTGCTGATCCTACGTAGGGATAAGGATGTGTGTAGAAACTTGCACCCTTCTTTGACCTCACTAGGGAGCCTGTTTGCTGTGTTACAAGCCTCATGGCATAGGACTAATGTGGGCTTAATATCTCTTAAGTGGTACCCTGAGAGACATGGCCTTTTGCTGTCTCATTTCTGGGAAATTCTAATAAATGTGTTTTGAGAGAACTTTTCATTGTTGGGTGTAGCCTCTTCAAACCTTTTTAAAATTGCTACTATAGATATTTGCATTAATATTTAGTTTTCATTACTAAATAGTTGTCTTTTATATACATCTGAAATGTATATAAAATGTATTTTGTATAAATGTATACAAAAGATACATTTCTATCTAAAAGTTTTCTTTTCTTCCCTCTAGTTCTGTGTCCTACATAGAGCAGCATTACCTCAGGAGCAGCTTTGTCTGTGGACTGTGAGCTAGATTTCCTACGGCATTATTATGAAAGCTGGCTACCATTACCTTCCTGCTATTGGAAACTCAGCACACTTGAACTTGGGTTTGTGACTCAGTATTAATACATCATGACTTCACTAATTCTTTATATTATAGAACCAAGAAGAAATATGGCACTGTTTTGAATTCTAGAGATGGTTTTTGTTAAACCAACTAACATTTATGAACTGTTCTCTTTTCTTAGTAGAGTAAGGGAGAGTGATATTAATTGTGCATGTGAAGTTATATTTTTCATAAACTGACAGTCTATCTGTTTGAGTTTTTTTTTATGGCTTCTACATCTAAACTGCACTGAAGAACTAGATCAGAGCATTGGGAGATTTATACTATAGCTATTTTTCAGTGATGGTTAGAACCAACATTGATTTTTCTAACAGAATTGTCAGTATAACTATTACCTACCAGTATTGTCCAGAGCGAATGAATCTTAAACTTGGACCGTTCTCGAAGCAAAACCAGAATATGGATTACTTTGGCTTACTACTTAGTGAACATCAAAACTCTATAGCTTGTTGCTTGTGTCACCGTTCAAATTTTAACCATTAAATTGCCATTCATTTTCATAATCTTGTATTATTTAGATGTTTAAATGTTTTGTTTCATGTGTCTGTGAAGAAGTGTACTTTAAAAGGAGTTTGTATCCTTTAAGGTGCTTAAGAAACTGTGCTGCAGCACTGCCCATTTCCCATTACTGTTATTCATGTCTGTCTAATATCCTAAAGTCTAATTCTAGAAACAGCTACTCATGGATACATCACCAATCATGAACAGTTTTGCTGGTTCCAGTCAAGTCAATGGCATTTAATAAATGTAAAAAAAGAAAAAGTAATATTTGCTTGAGAGCTTTATTTTTTAGTTTCTGTTGTATCTTTTGATTTCCCCCTCCCTTGCGGTGTTTGAGTCTTTCCCTAATTCCATGCACAGTCCATCATGACAGTGTGTGAGCTGGAGAAGCCCTGATTAGCCCCATGATACTAAGGAGGGTAGAGGACTTTTCCAGATCGTGGTGAGCTGCCGTGGAATGACAGAAGTCCTGCTCTTTCTGGGGCTGAGGCATTCTGAACAGCTTCTGAGTTTATATTTTTTCCCATCAACTCAAAGTCCCCCTGAAATTAGGTTTCCCCTGATTCTGCCTGGTAGACTCTTCTTTGGCAGCAAACTACCATAGGGTTTCCCACTATAACCCGTCTCCTGTGAATGATGAGTTAGTTTTGATACTGATGATGAGCGTGTTTCTGACTTGTGACTGAGAGCAGGTAGGTCTTTTGTCTAAGAACAGCACCCTGGTGCTGTGTACTCTGGGGGCACCTTTTTGGCAAGGCTTCCTCAGGAAAGACTTGCCTGCTGAGAGAACCACGGGGGCTCCTTGTGTGCTGGAAGTTCATCGGATTGACAACCTTAAAACAAATGGATGATTTATCTTTCTGATTCCAGATACGGAATCTTTTTGAAAGTTACATTGTGTGATTTTGACTCGAAGTGTTTATTGGCTGCCAAGAACCCAGTTGCAAATAATCCCCTTACAGCTTTGTTTTTTGAAGAAAACAAAAACAAACTGTCGAACTACGGTGCACTCCAAGTGCCATATATCTATTTTATTCTTCAGGAAATTATATTTGTTTTTCTTTTACAAGAGCACAACAGGAACCAAAGTAAAAGAGTAATAGATACAGCACTCAGGATAAATCATATCTTTAAAATAATAATAAAAAAATTTACACCTTGTCCTATATCCTGTTAGTATTTTCATAATATGGCCATGATTGAAAAAACAAAAAGCAAGCATTTACAATTTTTTTGATAAAGACTTTTTACGCCAGGAATGGATTAATTGTCAACAAAATTTTATACTAATCAGGCTGATGTAAATCTATTTTGGTAACATAATATCATTAACAAATTTATTTTGGAAATAGATAAAAATATTGCCCCTTGATAATAAATCTTTTTTTTCCTTTGATGCAAACAGCTAGAACACCTTTTTCTTTTTCTTTTTGATATTCTAAGACAAAAAAAATGGTTAATCTTCAGATTAATAAATTAGGTCATTATAATAATAAATTAATTTTTTTTTAAAGTTCAGCAACCTCTGTCCAAGTATTTACAACAATACTTGAAAGTTCCTTTACAAAACAGAACACATTTTCTTTTCACATTAAGCATACTGGGTATCTGTGTCTTTCACAACAAGCATTTTTAAAAGAAAAATCAATGCACAAATGGGTAATTAGTATAAAAGTGCTAAGAGCTGTTTGAAAAGTTAACACTATAGTATACAGTCAGTTATATTTGAGGCAAACTACAACAAACTTCCAGCTTATTGTGGACAATATTCCAGTAGTTGTTTCAAACAGTTGTTTGAAAAAAAAAAAAAATCCAGGAGCTGATTAGTGATGGAGATTAAAACTGCCATCAACGTCTCTGGCCAGTGAACTAATTGAAAACCAACCAAAAGCAAATCCAAATGAGGAAGAAGATTCTAATAAAGGAATACCCTCTCCATAGAAGGTGCAAAGCTGACTGCTCAAGGTGTGCACACACACACACTCACACACACATCTTTCTTTCCAATTGAACTACAGGTAGAATGAGATTTTGTGTTATTCAGAAAATTTGTAAGTGATTAAAAGCATTGATATGGAATGCCTGTTTGTCTTTGTTCTGGTTAAAATCTCATAAAAATACATTCAACAGGAAAACATAAATTGTATGTGTATAAATATATATGTATGTATATATTATATACACACGCACACAAATACTTTTGTTTTTTGAAGCATAAGATAGTTACATAAATATTCCTATAATTGCTAAAGTTTAAAGAGGCATAATTTTTTTTTGAGCTTCAACAAAGGTGCTTGAATAATATACAATTAAAATGAAGTAGTTTCTATTTTGTAGAATCAGTATATAATAAGGAAAAAAAAAACCAAAATCCCCCAGTCTTTTTTTTTTTTTTTAAAGTTTCTTCTTAAGCTAGAGGTTCAACAAAAACTATAAACAACCAACAATATAACAGACCAAAGCAACAACAAACAATGAAGTATAGCCCCTGGAAATGCCTGGTGTCCTTCACCCTCTCTCTCCCTCCTTCCTGCCACGTTGTTGTAAGAAAAGCTCCAGTGCTCACATCAAGAAATGACTTAGATCTTGTTCATGTACTGACTCTGCTAGGAACTGGCTGATTGGCTTGGAAGAAAATGAAAGCAGCAAAAAGTATAACTGTATATATCCTTAATAACCCGCTTTAGAGAAATGTTGCTATCGCATTTCCCTTGCTTTCTCACTGCCTACTATAGCAGTGACTGTATAGAAAAGAAACTTGTGGCTTTAGACCTGGGATGGCTATCAAAAGGTTCTGATGCGCTCGTCTGGTGGTTGTATGGCAGCTGGATCACAAGGCCTTTTTTGTTTCCTGCTTATTTAGGCCTGAGCTTTGCAGCAATCAGTGCAGTCTTCAGAGCAACAGGAAAAAATATCCTCTGGGCCACTGAACTGCTTTTTTGTTACTGGATTTCTCCCCAAGCCAAGCTGACCAATTTTTCTTCCCAACACCACCCTCCCACCCATTTACCCAACCAAACTCATTATCCCCACCCCCAGATATCTCTACAGCTATAGTACAAGCAAATATATCTTAGCAACTTTAAAAACTTTGGTTCTAAGAAAACACTTGGTCAGTTATCTTGAGGAAAAGTGGGAATGCTTGTGCCGCACACTGCTGTAGACAGAGCCCGTCCCAGTCAGATCTTAGCGCTGTACATCAAGTCACAATCCAATACAATCCACTAAGCAAGTGCACAAATTCTAGTTTACTTTTAAGAGCAGATTTACTCATTTTCTGTCTTTGCAAACCTCAACCATGTTGCCTTTCTTCACACCGTTTGGTAGAAATTGTCTGCCTGTAGATGGTTCTGTTTTTGCATGCTGTAGAAGCCACTGAATCTTGCATCTGGTTCAGCAATTCTTAGCATTCTCTGGGAACTGTCCACCTGGACTCTGGTTCCTTTCTTGCAGTCCACAGATACCAGCTGATTATTTAAGGAGGAAGGCTATTCGATGAGAGGAGGAAAAACCACAAAGAATTAGTTGCTAACGTATCCAAAATGAACAGAAATTTAGCACCTAATTCAAATGAGAGAAGTTTCACAATTTCACTGTGCGTGGAAGATTACATCCTATTCTCCTGCCAGCTTTACTTTTATGAGGGATACTGACAAACTGCATTTCAGTGTGAAATGTCAAGAAACTATGTCAAACAGGGAGATGAAGGAGCTGAGAAAAGAAAAAAGACTAAAAAAAGTCATGAAATGACATGATAACTATTTTCAAATCCGTGAAGTGCAGATTTGTGTTGAAGAGGGTTGAAGAAGGAGCAGGTTACCGGGAGGCAGACTTCACAACAAAGGGACGATTTCTGGTCACTCGGGCTGTGTAAGAGCATCCCAGGTTGGGCCAGGCCCTGTCTGTACCTAGTCACTTTATGAGTGGGTCTCTTTTCCCAGCTGTGGACAGTGGTGACTGTCTTCCTCAGCACTGTTTCCTGAGCCAGCATGTGCCCAGCCTAGAAAGCTGTGCCTGCTGTATATTTGTCAAAAGAAAATCAGAGACAGGATAGCCATCTGACATAAATTTGATATGGGAGGGTTAATTAGATGGTAAACCAGATTAAATAATTATTTAGGCTCTTCCCAATACTTAAGATTGTATGTTTAAAAGAAAACCAACTAAATATAAAAGGTAAAATTAGAGTTGGAAGAAATTATTTCCCTTAATTAATATAGTTCTTTCTTGCCTTTTAAAATAGGTAGATTCAGAGACCCTTTGTATTTGTACTGACAAAAAAATATATCTATTCTTTCTCCCTCCACATGCAAACTGCCTCTCTCTACCTTGTCTGGTGTATTTTCCAGTCTCTTCATCCTGTGCTCCCTTACCCTCGTGTGTGCCTTTGACACAGCCCTGTCCTTTGGGCTTTGGTACATCCTCCTCACTGTCTTCCAACTCTCTTCTTGCCCTCTCCTGAATAAGAACTCCCTCCCTTTGATTTCTTTTCTCTCCCAATTCTAAGTTGATAGATGATTTAGAAATACCATGTGTTCAAGTTTTAATTTCTAATATAAACAACAATCATTTAGAAATCAATTCAGAGGTAATTGTTCATTTAGAAACTTTAAAATACATCCAGGATCCATGAAAGGTCAGGATTCAGTAACCAGTGGATGATGGGTGATTCACCCCAGTGATCAATCCAGCCCTGCGTAAGTACTTATATATTTCATTGCTACAGCCTGACATTCATTTGAGGCTATGAATAGCAAAGTATAAATTTTACTGGGTAATACAAAAGATATCAAGCAATACTAAGGAAATATAAGAATGTAAGCTTTCCTAGTGTCACCATTGAAGAGACTGAACTTTCTCAAGAAGTTACCTTAGTTGGTATTGCTACAGCCTGACATTCATTTGAGGCTATGAATAGCAAAGTATAAATTTTACTGGGTAATACAAAAGATATCAAGCAATATTAAGGAAATATAAGAATATAAGCTTTCCTAGTGTCACCATTGAAGAGACTGAACTTTCTCAAGAAGTTACCTTAGTTGGTGTTCGATACCAGCAAAGCAGTGGTATCCACTGTTTCTTCTGATTGATGAACAGGAATGCTATTATAATAGAGAGGCATATTATTATGGGAACCACGACAGAGGCAATGGAGTCCAGCGAAGAATCTTCACTTGGATGCAGTCTGTTATCTCTGTAATCCACCTGGAGGTGACCCATATCTAGGAGAAAAAAATAAATTACAAGCATTTATTACCTAAACAA